CTTCTGGATCCATTGCTTTTCCCCTTATCATAGGGACCCCTCATAATGGTACCGCTAGTTTGAGGAAAACCCGAAGCCATCCTAAACCCTAAACCCTGTATACCGCTATGATAATCAATCCCTATATCCACTCTTTTTAGTACCCCTAATTTTTGGGACCGCCCCTCCCAAAAAAAAATCATCTGGCCATGTCCTGACTGACTTGAGCCATAGTCTAAACTCCTAGTATCCCCCTCAACAAGCCGTATGGTACTCCCCTATATCATCCTTATATAACTCCGTTTAAGGAGTTTAGACTATAGCTCACTTTGCAGCACGATGATCCAAGGGTCCGACTTTGGTATTCCCATAAGCACTGCACCCACTTTTGGATCATAAGCTCCAGGACCTGCCAAAGGAGGGTGGACTGCCGTCTAATCTTGCCACGGATTCATCTGCACCCTGCCTGGCTGTGACCGGCTCCTCATGTACGAACTTGCCTGACGCCTGCAAGAGATCAGTCAGCATGCAGGACCGTCAAGCCGGCGGCAAGCCGGCAAATCAGCAGCCGCGCCCGCGAGCAGTAAACATCTTCGACTTTCCCAGATTGCTTCTCTGCTCATATGCTCCGGGTCCAGGAGCATTCTGGTCAGCAGTATGCATTGTCGGGAGAAAATCTTCAAGGAAGAAAGCGACCTCGGGCAGGGGAGGGCCGCGCCCAGCATTGGCACCTGCAAAGCTCACCTGTAAAAGCAGCGCAGGAACGCCCAACTTACTGTAGCTGAGGATGGCTGCCCACAGAGGAAATGCATGAATCTGCCGAGCACCTTTGGACCTGCCGTGAGCAGAGGGTCTCTTGGGTTGTACCTGCCATAGTGGTGCATTGCAAGTTCGCTGGAGACATAGCACTTCAAGATAGCTCAAGCAAGCTCGGTGGTACGCTCCAGGTCCCGGCTGCTTTTTTGAAGGCGCCTCACCTCAAGTGGCACAAACGCAATCACTTGCTGTGCTGTCATCTTGCATGCCAGAGGGCCCAGCCGGCGGCAAACCGAGTGGCTCCACCAAAGCTGAACTTTGGCAGCGACTGGCGGAGCACTCAAACTGTGGATCAAACCACCTAATGCGCTGCCACTAGTGTGTCTGATTCTGTTTGTCCGCAGGTGTTGAGCTTGATATTAGAAGTGATAACAAGATGGGCGCAGCTGAATGTTGATTGATGGCGCACAGAAGCAGTGCAAGTGCTGATATCGTTTCTCACAGGCCGTCAACAAAAGGGAAACAGAAAGTGGAGAATTGATGAGAACAGCGGATAGCTTCTCATGGACGACAATGAATACATGACAGTGCTGTGGAAATGTGCGCTGACAGGCCTTGCAGCCATGTACACATTCGCAAGTGTCGGCTACATAGATAATAAACAGCACCCCTGTGAGGTTTCGCTTCGATAAATGCTGATCCCGGCTCCTGTGCCTAGGTATGGCGGAAGCAGAAACTTTTGCAAAAACCTATGTCTGCAGCTGCTTACCGCGATGCGGCCGAGCCAGCTGAATGCTTGCTGCTCTTCTTGCCTTTTCGACCGACAGGCAATGGAGAGCACGTCATGAACACATCTCCGCATGTGCAAAAACCACATCGCTCCAGGCATTCGCTCGAGGCGAAGTGTGGGACATTAGCCAGCATTCTGCAGCAAGGGGGGCAGCGGAGCCGGGTCTTGTGGATTCCTGCGGTGTTCAAGCCGTCGTTTGTCACCTTCTCGCCACTATTTCTCATAGCCTCTAAGCGCCAATCGAACCAACGCATTCGCATATAGGCAGCCGGGCAAGCTCGCAAGCTTTGGAGCAGAAGGTTTAAGAAAAAGTAGGCCGCGTGGCACACGCTGGCTGACATCGTGTCCATGTACGAAAACAAACCGAGAGGCAGATTGGTGAGTACGCATGTGCTTGCAGCTGCTTGCGTGCAACAGCTTGGTGTTCACAGCACATGACACTGATTCATGAGGGCGCCTTGTATCTTCCTCCTCCTTGACCATGGTTCCTGAAGATGGGACAGACAGGCTCAGAGGCCAGTCTGGCACAAAGAGCTCGGGCCCTGACATGTTGTAGGACCCCGGAGCCGGGGTGCTGCTACTGGCAATGAACGTGCTCGGCCTGCATCAGTCAAGGCTTTGCGTCTCACTCCATGCATCTCTGCTCAAGTCTGTCAGGTCGGCCCTTTTTGCCCGAAGGTCCACCTGGCACAGACACAAGTCTTGCACGTGAAGACCCTGCGCCAACACTGCCCTTCATCGCCAACAGCACAGGTCTGTGGCATCCTGACAAAACATGTCGCGCCTAGCCCCTGTTTTGAAGTTGGAAACTGTGTGCATGAAGGTCGGACCCTTCTTGACCTAGTCGTTTCGAAGGGTAACACCCAAGGCCTGCATGCCTCTCAAGCTTGGGATGTAAGCCAGGAGCCCCATCTGTGGTCATACTAGAGAACTGCAGCTTGCTCTTGAGATCTTCCGAAGAGTGCGAGGTGAAACCAGGCCTGAGAGAGACTCGCAAAGCTCTCCGTTTCTATGTGACTGTCTTTGACGCAATAATTGATGCTTCCCGCATCTTGCATGAATGGGGCTCAGGCGAACTTCTCACACTCCTGTTCATTGTCTTGGGGGATGCGCTCTGGAAAGAATCCTGAGGCCACCAGCTTGCAACGGCAATCTCACAGGGCAAAGATTGAGGCAGTTGAGAAGTCTCGGATGCGAACCAGAGATTGGACATGATGCATGTATTGCATGTCATCTTGATCCCGAGATGGCTCTCCCATGTCCTTGGGCGTAGGATGTGCAACATAGTATACTATCAGAATATATTATAGTATATTGCGGCTTGGGCCACGGCATCCCGCACATCCTTGAGCAGCTGTTCGGCGCTGTCCTTGTCATTTGGCATGATTGACATTGGCTCAGCTGAGTGTTGAGGAAACTCCGCGCAAACATCCAGACAAGCTTACTTGATCATGGGCCTCTGCTTCATCACCACGAGGCGGAGCGTCCGGCGGAACAGCAGCAGGAGCATCCCCCGGATGGCTTGGCGCAACATCTTGTGGAACGCCGGCCGACGCATCTGCTGGCTGCGTCATGGCTTCTGCCGGGGCCGAGTTGTCCTGGCTTCCAGTTTGGACGCCTTGTGCATGGTCAGCCAGCGCCTCCCCAGGACAAAATTGAATTCCACATGTGACGGAACAACGTAGCTTTGGCCTGAGCAACCGCTCGTTCACTCTCGGCCACGGGCGCCGGCGCTGCTGCGTTGTCCTCCAAACGACTATGCTTGAAAGCGAAAGCATGCTAACAGGGCTTCTTAACAGCGGTGGCGGAAACTGTTGGGTCCTGTGCTGACTGTTCTGCAGTGGCAGCTTCAGGAGTCGCTGTGCTGGCTGGAGGATGTGGCTCCTTGCCAGCTGAAGTGCAGATATGTTCTGATTCTGCCACACTTGTCGGAACCCATGTGCCTGCCTCCGAAGCAGCATGCTCCGCCAAAGCTTGTGAAACAGCAGCCTGGTTCTGTGCCTGGCGAGTGCTCTTGTGCTGTGAAGACCAGAGACGGAATGCGGCCTGGTTGGAATCTACATGTTCGGCAAGAGCTTGCTGCACGACCTCCTGGCTCGCTGCCTCAGTTATACTCTCACGCCAGTGGCACATGCTGCTGACTGCAACGTGAAGTATACAAGACGCCTCGGGGTTCTCTGGAGCAGTTTCAGAGCTATCGGGAGGCGCTGTGACCTTGCTCAGTGCCCTCTGATTTGACCCTTGCACGTAGACAACTTGATCCAGGACCTCTGTAGGCTTTGCAGGCTCGGCTGCCTCACTGGCGGGGGGCGCCTACGGCCGGAGTTAACTGAAGATCCTAGTAGTCTCCAAAAGACATCCTTGGAGACGTCCTGGCCTCAGGCGCAGCTGGCGAGCTCGGCGCCTCTTGTAAACTGCAATCTTAGAAGATGTCCATCCAAACATCGCAGACTGAAGAGCCGGCCTCGTTTGAAATTGGCTCTCCTGCCTCGCCAACAGGAAGCAGCATGCCTTCTACCACTCGTGACTCAAAGCATTTTGCCTGAGGCGCTGCTTCCGCAGCTTCAGTGGAGCCCTTTGACAGCGTCGGCAAGCACACGCCACGACTATCAAACTCACTGCCCACCTCAGGAGGAGAAGGTTCTGACGGTGGTTCAGGGTCTGCCTGCGGAGACCCCTCTGCCTGCAGCATGTCACTCGAAATGGCAGAAGAGACACCACAAAGGTCTCAAAGGCATGCCTCGTTTGTTTCGGCCATGCCGGGCACAGGTGCCTGAGTAGTGCTATGCTTGCCGACAGGTCATTTGCAGTACACATGGACTGGCATGCTTTATGCAAACATGAGCACCAGGCCGTTGCCCTGTGGCTTGGCCAGCATACCGGTTCGAGCCAGGAAACCCCAGGGAGGAGCAGGCTAGGTCTGAGTGCTGAGTCAGCTCCTCTTAGGTTGGAGGCCTGCGGCACGCTGTCCCAAAGCGCGCTTTCCCAATCACTTCCCCTTGATAAGAACCCCCCAAGCTCTAATAACGCAAACACCCCCTCATATAGCACCTGCACACACAATGGGACTCTGGTATAGCTCCATCATAGACTCAGCAAGAACATGCTTCAGCAATGGATTCATGCATGCGCTTTGTTTGCTTAGTTGTGTTCGGCTTTTGCAATTCAGCGCGCCTCCACTCACAGATTTGTGAAATCTAGTGCCCGCTTTGTGGCCATTTTCGCAGGAGAGTTGAACATTGCGTTGAGTCTTTCACAACATCAAAGTTCCGCTTTCTTTCCTTTGCCCGTCCTTGACCAGGTGCAAAGAGGGAGGAGGCAACATCACAGGCATGCCAGTGCCTGCGGCGAGGTTCGCAGCGTCCAGACTCCCGGCCTGGAACTGAGGTACACAAACCAAGAGCCCTGGAGAAAATCTCCAGCAGAGGTAGGGGAGGCGCATGCTGTCCGGATGATGTCAGAGAACTCAGCTCCGTCCTGTCCGCACTTTGCTGAAGGTGCTGAAGGGATGCCAGGTGGCGTTAGGATGCAAGCTTTGACCTCCTTCATCTCCATAACTTGGGCAGCCATCTCCGCACCGTTGCGGCCAACTGTGCTCTCACAAGCAATGAAGACCGCCTGGCAATCCCATGTGATGTCAAGTTATGTGTTCGTGCGGCCTTGCCTCGTTTCGTACATGGTATGTGTCCACATCTCTTTCTGAAGGCCTAAGTATCATGTCAGGGGAGCAAGCAAGTGTTCTGCAAACAGGTGGTAAAGGTTCAGGAGTGGCCAGCTCTTGGATTCTCAAGCTTGTGAGTATTCGGATTGTGAGGGATTAACGTAACAGTTGAAGCTGGACTGCGAAGACTTCACTGCCAGACAATTGCCGCATCAGTAAGTACAGGTGGGTTCTGAAATGTTCTGTAAGAATCTCCCGAGCCTCTCCCAAGCTGCTCAAGCCTCTCCCCTCGTCCAACAGCCTTTCCCCGCAGGGCCTCTCCGGATACCTTTCCCTGAACACTGCCGGAACACCAGCGACCTCCACCCCTTCATGGGCGTTTAGGCAGGGAACCTTTTTTGTCATTGCTAAGAAACACATACGCAAACAGTCTCCAAAGACCCCACCTGATTCATGTCAACCCCAATCTCCTATGCCGAGAACACACACTTTCTGAGCCGTGGACAACTTATCGCTCTGTTCGAGGCACCACTCAGGGCCTGGACGGCAGGCTTGCTAACCCGCTGCGGCTGTCCTTTGCTAGAATGATTACGTGGCTTCTCGGCCTTCATCGGACTTCTCCTGTGTGTAAAATCATTCAGGAGACTAGCTGGATGCAAAGTTGAAGAAGGCCTAGCGGGCCAAGTGATATGTCTGGGGGGCCTACCGCGACTGTTGCGCATTTCCGCGCTGACCAGCCCCTAGATCCGATGCAGCATTGCAGTTGAACAAGTTGAGATGTGAAGATACCGTGCCCGAAAGTCAAGATACAAGTACATCAAGATGCCGTTGGCAAGGGCTTACTCATAATTGCTCCTTTTCTTGCTCGCATGATAATTCCTGGCGCTTTCACCAGCCGTCTGCTTTTTCGGGACAAGTGGAGCGTCTAACGTGAGCTGGCACGTGGATGCCAGAGAATACTGCATTGCAGTCACTGCATTGCAGTGCAGTTGTTGCAGACCATTTGCGCTGTCAGCTTTCGCGCAGTGTCTGCACCTTGGGCCACAGTCTGCACCATGAGCGCTAACTTCGCGAAGAACCTTTGAGTGCTGGAGCTCTATCAGGCTGCCGAGCTGAGCATGCTGCGGTTGCTTAGCAAGCCTGGAGAAAGCAAAGTGCAACCCAGAGCAACCCAAAATTACCCCTATATTAATTACCCCTATACTACCCCTATGTTAATTACCCCTATATTACCCCTATGTTAATTACCCCTATATTACTTACCCCTATATTACCCCTACACCCCGAAAGGCTAAACCAGGCCTGGATCGGCGTCAGATTTTCGGCCTTCAGGGACTTGGCGCCCACACCTGGACCAGGATGAGAAGCAAGCAAAGCAAGCAGGGGTCCAGGGGGGTTCAGGGGGGGTCCAGGGGGGATCCAGGGAAGCAGACCTCTGAGAAACATTTGCTGTAGGGTTTATATGGGGGTTATTCATGGGGATAGTGGAAAAGAAAATGGAAACTACTGTAATTATATAGGGGTTATATAGGGGTGAAGCTTCCCAGAGCCTGCAAGGCGAACGCTGTAGCGGCCTTCACAGCTGCCAGCTCCCTCACGAGAAGTCGCAGTAGTATGTACATTAAAGAAATACATGGTAGTTTCCCAAAATAGGGGGACCCCAATATAGATAATATAGACCCCAAAACACTATAATCCTTAATATAGGCACCCCCAAAATGGTACCCCTAATCTTAGGAAACTCCCACATGTGCCAGCAGAATGCCGTGGCAGGCAAAGGCGGCCATGGCCTCGACGGTGCCTTCCAGTCCATTCAGCTTCTGACCAGCTTCGCCTGGAAAGCCAAAATAATTACAAGTATTATATAGGGTTATGTAGGGTTATATTGGGATAATGGAAAGGAAAATGGAAACTACTATATAATAATAGGGTTTAGAGGCCTAAATAATTACCAATATCATTTGAGTAGTGTTTTTTGTGGTTGAACCCAGTAAGATTATATTCCTTACATGAAATACGATACCCCCAAAAGGAGAAAGGAGGATATAATCTTACTCTATATTGGGTACCATAATATCCCCAAATAAAATACTACTCAATTGAACTGAACTAGATTTTGTGCCTGTAACAAATGGTAACAATGCTGGGCAGAGGCTCTGGCTTTCGAGGTTTTGAACCTCATGGCTGTATCTAAATGAGCTATAGTCTAAACCCCTTCTATCCCCCTTAATATGCCCTATAGTAGCCCCCTATATAATCCCCTCTATGACCCCCTTTAAGGAGTTTAGACTATGGCTCAAATGAGGTCAGGAGGTGGTACCAAGTTAGCAGGACCAATGCTAAGTGCGAGGCTCGCACCCGCTGTCCTGGTGCCAGGGGATCCTCTGACCCCTCGGATCCTCCCGTGACTTCGGTACTTTGACCACCTTCGCTGTGAGGGGTTGACGTGCTTCAGAGAATCCAGGTCATCTTGGCATCCAGCCATCCGGAAGCCGGATAAGGATGATTGTCTCATTATCTGTACCTCAGACTTGAAACTTGCTTCTGCGTTGAACTCAGGCGGGTGCGGCCTTCTTCGATGGGTCTACCACGCGAAGACCTGAGCGGTCAGCCTGACAGCTTAAACTTCGTCCCGGAGGCGTAGGCTAAGTGAAAGACCGAGCGCAGCAGGCGTGAAGCACTTCTGTCCTTTGCGCTGCAGCGAATGGTTGGTTTGCAGGATTGCGCACTTTATGCCATGCAAGAAACAGATCTGTAGGGCCAGAACGCTATCTGTTCCAGCGGCATTCCCAACTTCACTCGCGGCCAGATGAGATTTGCGATGTCCTGTGCTTTCAGGCTGACACTCAAACGTGGAGACACCCCAGCAGTGTCCACGCATGCTCCTGATTCGAACACCGCTCAAAGAGCCCGTCGCAAGCGAGGACGAGCAGCTCCTGTGGCCTCGGCTACGCTATCCATCATCCTGCAACCTACCCAGCAACATCAGAAAGGAACCATCTAATGGGATCTTTGCATCGACAAACAGAACTGCCACTCGAGCCCCTGTGAGAGGTCGAACAGACCAAGGACTAATCAAAGAATTGTGTCAGATTGTATGTTTGAAAAGGTCTCAAAAGTCGGAGCCTCCCGGGCGAACCTCAACTCTGGTCTTCCACCCTAAACTCAGAAAGGTGTGCCATCCTTCGTTTTGCCAGGTGCTATGCTCGGCAGGTCTCTGCCAACATATTGAAGCTGCTCAAACTTGTGAAATACTATACCCCGAAAGGAGGATATAATCTTACTCCATATGAACTGAACTAGATTGTAGTCCCCCAAAATGGTACCCCAAAACCCTATATAAGTCCCATACAACTATATAACCCTATATTTCCCCTTTAATGGCTAAAATCTTACCAGCCCAACATTTGACTTCTGGCTGGGAGTTTCCCAAAATTAGGGGTCCCCTTTTGGGGGTTATATTGGGGTTTTGTTGGGATAACGGAAAATGAAATGGAAACTGCTATTTAGGGTTTAGGGATTAGGGTGTAGGGTTCAGGGTTTCCCAAAATTAGGGGTACCATTTTGGGGTTCCCCAGAATAAGGACTAAAGGATTTTGGGGTCTATATTAGGGTCCCCCTATTTTGGGAAACCACCATATCTCGAACTGTAGGAGTTT